GTTAAACGGAGCAAAATTAGAATCCGTATTTTCAGAATATATAAAAAGACCTGGGCTTAAAATATTTAAAGTATTCTAAATCTTAAAAATCTAAAAATACCAATATGATTTTTCTGTTCAAAGACCATATCTGTCTGAGCTGAATATATCTGCCAACTTTCCATACTCAGAACATAATTGAAAATTCAGAAAGAAACAAGAAGGTTCTGATTAACCAAAACACAGTTCAGCCCTCCTACACTGTTGGTGGGAATATAAACTGGTGCAGCCATGATGGAAAACAGCATGGAGATTCTGCCAAAGAAAAATTGAGAATAGACATACCATCTGATCCAGCCATCCCATTTCCAAGTACTCACTCAAAGAATATAAAAACACTAATTATAATATATGCACCCCACTGTTCACTGCAGACTTATTTACAATAGCCAAGGAAATCACCTAAGTGCCCATCAATGAATGGATGGAGAAAGAAAATATGGTACATATACACCATGCGGTAGTACTCAGCCACAAACAAGAATAAAATCTTGCCACACGTGACGACACAGATGGACGTTGAGGGTATTATACTTCGTGAAATAAGTCAGATGGAGAAAGACAAATACTGTATGATTTCACTCAGATATGGAAGATAAAGAACAAAGGAATGAATATGTCACGTCAAACAAACAAAAACCAACACAAAGATCAGCGTAGTGGTTACCAGAGGGGATGGGCTGGGGAGGAGGAAGAAGTGGGCAAAGGGGATGGAAACTAAATTTTTGGTGGTGAGCACGCTGTAGGGGACACAGAAGTAGAAATGGTTGTGCACGTGAAGCTTACAAAATGTTATAAACCAATGTTACCTCAATAAAAAAATAAATTAAAAAAACAGTTCATAAATCATAGGTGCATTGTTTATAAAAAGCCCTCTGGGTCTTACTCAGAAACCAGTGGTTCTGTTTTACGCATAATTCCATCAACACTGGTTATAAAGGATGCAGACCTTAACACAGCTAATTAGCAGTTAACAGCTTCTCATTAAGAAGAGAAAATAAGCTATAAAGCCCAAATGCATATCTTTCACCTGCAATGGGCAGGTCATGTAATTCACCACATGAAGAGCAGCTCAGGAACGTTCATCCCAATGTGGACCCTGAGACGGTGGGCTGTGTCAATGAAGGGACTGAATAGGACTTGGGAAGTAAAGGCAGCAAGACCCCGAGGACACAGCCGTCTGGACGTCGGTGCAGAGGCTGGAGCCTGGCAAGTCGACTACACCTGAGAGGGGACCCTGATAAAGAGGTGCTCAGAGGTAAAACTCAGCAAGGTCATAGCACCCAGGAGGTCGGGGGTCAGGAAGGTCTCAGAGGGAGAAGGAGCTCCCGGGGAGCTGAGGGTGTGCCGGGCTGAGTGGGCGGTGAAAGACACAAGGGACAGCCTGAGGTCAAGGACAGCTTTATTTAGGATGCGGGAACCTGGAGTGTGTTTTCCATATGAGGAGGAGGGGACAGGAGAGACGCAGAAATTGGAAATAAGAGAAGTAGGGGCAACCATGTAGGCAAAGCTTTGGGGAGGGGGAGATGGCATGAAAACCAGAGCGGAAAGGAGCCATTTCTTTCCTGGGAAACCTTCAAATCCCGACCCAACCTGCTGCTTCCACTGAGGCGGGAAGCCCCATAAAAAGACCGGCAGGACCCCTAGGCAGGGCCGCTGCTCTCCTCTTAGCACCGTCTTGGTCTCTCGCCCGGATCCAGGTTGCTGTCACAACTGAGCTGTAACACATTTTTCCACAACACCATCTTGGTGGTTCCACCATGGAGCAGTTTAAAGCAGTGCTACTCAAAGTCGGTCCGTGGACCAAGAGGCATCAGGGTCACCTGGGGTCTTGTTTGCTGATTCGCTAGCCCTCCCCTAGGCCTCCTGAGTTAACAAGATTGCAGATGATGCCCTATTAAAGTTTGAGACGTGCTGGTTTAAAGTGGGGGTTATGAACGTACGCATTTAAGTCAGGTATCTCTGGGCTCAAATCCAGCTCAACCCAGACCCCACGGTGTGTGCCCTTGGGCCAGCCTCCCTAAGCCTCAGGGGTTTTCCTCTGTAGGGTGAAGATAAAGACAGATAGATTTCTCTAGGGCCACTGTAAAAATTCAATGAGGTGATGTCGGGGCAGAGGGTAGCTGTGAGCCTGGCACACACTAATGATGGACGGCATGCTGTTTTGGTTCATCCCTCTCACCCTACTTGGATAACAGTTTTGTTACGTCCATCTGACCCCCTGTGAGGAATGAGATCACCAAAGACAGGGAACACGTTTCCATTCATTCCCCGGCATCCAACCCCGAGATTTGCACGCAGGTGTCCGATCTTGAGGGGAAACACAATACACATGGGATGAAATGAACCCAGCGCTGTGACAGGGGTAAGTCAACTATCCCACAGCAAACAGTAAAGCTCTTTCTTTGACTCTGTTTACACTAAGCGCTGATTAGAAACAGCTTATGAACTCGCTTGGGATTAAAGGATCAACTTTCAGAAGAGAATGAGCAAGTTCCAAGATGAAATACAGTCCACTTTCAAAACCTTCTGCATCAGGGCGTGTCCGTAAAAACGGGCGACAGAGATCTCTCTGAAGCCACACCCAGGTACTGCGCCCCATTCCGAGGTCAGCAGTGCAGACCACCCCAAGACGTTTCACCTGAAGGATGAAACTTACTGCTTCTGCTCGGGAAAAGCACATAAGTCAGATCACACCACCAGCTGAGTCTCTTTATTGTCGGCCAGGCTCCAATAATGAAGTGACTTGACTGCATCACATGCACCTTAATTTCCTGTGCTGGCAAAGGCGCACAGACGGAAACCCCAGCAGGCATGGGACAGAAAGACACGTCTTTCTGCTTGCGTTACTAGATACAGAAGAACAGCCCCAGAACTTACAGCACAGAACACCCACTTCTGTCGCAAACAAGGTAACAAAGGCAAATATATTTTGTGGAGCACTGTTAATTTTTGATCCAGAGAATCCATAGGTCATTTCAATGGATTTGACTATCGACTCACATCTAGAGAACACCCACTGGGCGGTCGGCACTGGGCTAGATCCTGGGATGGCAAAGGGGCTGGGACCCAGGTGCCTTGCTGGGCACCCCCTACAGAGGAAGGGAGTACCTTTTGGGCAAAAGGACCAATTAAGGGCAATGCAGTCATCCAGATAAGGGGCAGGAAGGCTCAGGAGGAGGCCAGAGGCAAAAGCATCACTTCAGAGACTGATCTAGCATCTCTGGGGACCTACGAGGAGAGGAGTCAAGGGTGGCAATGCAGCTTCTGGTTCAGAGTTAAAATACAATGAAGCCTGGAATTGCAGGGAAGTTCCAGCTGGGGGAATTCTCCTGGTTACAGGGAGGCCCCCTGAGAACAGTGTGTTAATACAAAATTGCAACAAGTGTCCTAAAAGCCCAGGCAGCCCTAGAATGAGAAGCTGACTTCCTTTGTATCCCAGCAACGAAGAGGGTCACTCCCCACAGTGACCTTGAAGCTGCAGCTCTCCCAACATCCTTGCAAAAGCCAACGGCCCTTTTCTTTGGATACAGTTTCTGAATTGCAAATTTTTAAATGCCCTCAGGTGTTGCCAAAGAGGCTCATTCTGCATTGAAATTTAAAATCTTGCAGGGGTGTGGTTACCAAGAAACAGTGGGTCCCAAAAGATTATGTGTGTGTGTTGGGCAGGAAGTAACAGAAGCGCATGCTTTGATGAAATCTGAGGTTTGAGTCTCTTGGCACCAGAGGCTGCTGAGGGGTAATCAGCCCGCTCCTGAGGAGGACACACGAGGGGCAACCCACCTCTGCCGTCAGTGCCACCTTCTCGCCTCTCAGAGGAGAGACAAGGATGATCACCCCCGGCAGGATACCCACTGCTTGGCTTTCCTACCAGCTCTCCGGGGTTGGTGAGAAGAGGCAGCTCAAATATACGTGTACATACAATCTGCTCCTTGCTGCCTCTCCCTACGATGAAGGAATCGCTCCCACACCCGGCAGCTTTTCTCAGCAGAGGACACCACCAGCACTTGGGCTCTACCACCTGGGACTGCCCCGCATTTCAGGGCATTTAAAATTTCAGCCACATCGCCCCAAACACCAGCAGTAGTTACTGCGAAAACCAGAAGCACCCCAAGCATTTCCAAACGGCCCTCGGGTTGTGGCACTACGTCTGGTTGAGAACCACGGCGGTGTTCCCCGATGAAGTCCATCTCTATAAATACTCTGTTTTCTCCCTGATAAAAATAATTACTGCCCCTACTGGTCCATCTGTTACGGCTTTCTTTTCTCTCTTTTTTTTTTTTAGCACAAGGAAATCACCAAGCTAAGTGACAGAGACCACACTCTTGGGCTTTTACAAGATGAATCCAGCATTATTTTCTTAGAGAATTAAAAAAATGGAAATACAGCCCTGAATCTAGACACCAAAGCAAGATTTTTAAAAAATAAATTCTGGAACATCGTAAGTTCTAGATGTCAGCTTCAAGGATCGGAATTCCAAGGCCAAGAACCCTCAAAACAAAGATCATAGAAAAGGGTCATTGGTGATGTATATTTCCATGTGTATTAATAGTAGGAGTGAAAAAAAAACCTTGCCGTTTGGAGCCCCACCCCATCCTTGTGATACAGTTATTGAAGTACTCCGTATTGTGAATACGCTTTTAATTCCAAGGCTTCGTGTGCTAACAGTCAGACAGGAGTACCTACTAGATTCTGTTAACCAAACCATTAGTATCAACTTCTCTGTACCATTAAAGTAAGTTATTGTTTTTAAGGAAGAAAACCCAATCATTCCAAAATCAAAAGACATCCCCAAGGGTACCTACAGGAGTGACTGCAGTAATCAGCACATGATGGCAGGAACATTCCAGGACTTGAAGTCAACAACTCTTTGAGAAGCATGCTCAGAAAGATGGCATTTAAAAAATAAATAACTAAAACCCGCAACTACATTTAGATTTATAGGAAGATTTTTCACTTACTTTGATTTCTGTATAATCCTTGTTCCTCTAAGTTAAAGAGGGGGAAAATCACACTGTAATTCCTTATTTTTCTAATTAAAAAATAAACCAAAACACGTTCTATCCTCTACTTCGGCTTTGGATGTCCTCCAGTATTCTCTTTGCGTCTCCTTTTCTGTGAACACTACTTTCAAATTCTAAACAAAACGTACACTATCAAAAGTGAGCCCAAGGGACACTGTAAACAATCAAATATCACAACGCAAACAAGGCAACTGCATCTATCAGAAATGATGATTCAGACGAGGATAAATTTAGAATGGTGCTTTCCAAACGGCGTTGGGGCACCAAATGCAGGAAGCAGGTGAAGGCTACATCCCGAAAGGTTCTCTGAAAAAGGATCTCCAAAATATCAAGAAAAGTCTTCTTTCTGAAGATGTCGGTCCCCTGCTGTCTTTGATGCTGAACTTCTGCAATCTGGCCTTGGTGTGGCCATCCATCCCCGGGTAAATCCAAGTAAAACCTGAGACACTTCAGCCTCTGAGGACGCTGTCCGAAGCAGTGAAAGCAACTTCACATGGGACGGGCCTTTTATGGCCTGAACTGGAGAGCCTTGATCTCAGCTCATAGACCAGAAATAGCTCTTGAAACTCAGAGAAGCTGATCAGCTGTTGCAACAGGCCCGGCCAGCAGCGACTTCAAGTGCAGTGAGAATTGGTCACATTGTCTTTCAGCTCATTTTACAGAGAAACTAAAAATGCAGCAGCACCCTCCTGAACTGGCTACAACAAATACAGAACTGAATGGGTGAACACTTTCTAACTCAAGGCTTTGGGTTATAAAAGAACTCAAAACCACTGATAAAGCTCAGACATCAAACACTCAAAAAGGAAGCAACATACGTATATACGTACAGACATTAACGTATAGACGTTAAACGTTACTGTGTACGTATAAACATTAGACAGCATGCAATAAAGCCACGTGTCCCTTCACAAGTTTACAAGTTGTGAAGACATCTGTGGATTTCTTCCCAAGTCCAATAAGAAAATTTCCAATAGAAAATGAGTCATCGGAAGAAAGAATTGCGCTGGAAGTAATTTCTCCAAAACAACACAAATGTTTTGTCTTAAAACCAAATATCATGCTGTGAACGGATGGATCTGTCTTCCGATGGATCTCAGGTTACTCAATTCACCCAAAAACCAGAAGAAACTTAAGTAAGGGGTGGGGGGAAGAACTACAAAGCACAACCACTTCTTAAAAGGCTATTTGTATTTTTTAGATATTTGAACTAATAGCACAATCCTGCTTACACAAATACTTAAAATTGCCAGTGTCCCTGTTGTTGGGAAGAATAGCAGAGCATCTTAATCGTTCATCGAAACTTCAATAGAAAGCACAAAGCTCAGAACTCTGGGCGGGGACAGAAGCTCGGTGCTGCCCGCGGGGGCAGGCACCTGGGTGTCAGTTCTCAGTCCACCAGCTGCATCAGTCAGCGGAGGCCTCGAGAAGCAGGCTCTGAATTCCTGTTACTAATTAACCCTGCAGGACAATGCCTCTTTCTAAACAGACTCCTGCGGCCAGGTGAACGATGGCAGATACCCTGGGCAGCCATAATGATTAAACACTGGCTTTCTGACTGTTTTGCATGAGGGTTAAAGACAATTTGTCTAAGCAAAATTTTTTGCCTCCAGATGACAAACAGAGCTTCACAGCATGACTCCGGTTTCTTAATTTCCATCCCGGCCCTCATCTTATTTTTGTCTCTTTGACAAATTTTGCTTTTCACTCCTTTTTAATTTTATTTGGTCTTGCTTTATATATTTATAGAAGCTGCTCTGAACTTCTCCTGGAGCACGAAGGATAAAAATAAATAAAGCCATATGTAAAGCAGCTGACTACTGGGGTTCCTTTTAAGAAAAGATAGGAGGAGGCAATGAGTCACTGTTAGTGCAACAGTGCAGTTGTGTTTTTCTCCCTGAAAAAGACGCCCACAAAATAAACATCTAACTTTTGGATGCCTCTGAGGTTGCTGGTCCCGGCTTCCCTGCAGCAACCAAACTGGCCACGATCAATGCACCGGAGTCTAACAGAATCTTTCTTCTCAGCTGCCCCTTTCATACACGCTTTTGGTCTTTGTTCAAATTCCAGTTAATTCTACCTGTGCAGTCTGTTTAAATAATTTCCTCAATTTTTTTTTTTTTGCTATCCGCTGAAATCAGGAAACTCTTACCACACACACACTTCTTTCCAAAAACAGGACAGTAATCAGAACTGAGTAGATTTAATGATAAAGCCACGAAGAAAATGGAGCATCACATATTATACATTGAAATAAGAACTAGGCTTATCCTTGACTTAGACCTCTCTGAGATAAGTCATAAGTAATTATTTCTCATTTGCTTTGACTTCACACTAGTATTATTATACCCATATGGTGGTCTACCATTCTTTCTAATGATTTCACTGTATCGGCTTTAAGATGAGTTTTAATCGGGCTTTTGCAGGCTAACCTAGAAACCATGACTATTTGTGATATTGAGCTTGAGAGAAACTGCATTCGTGTTTCTATGGCACCTATTTTACAATAACAATGAACATGTGGAAATCAAGAAACATAATGCCTTTTACAATCATTACAAAAATATTTAGATGTAAGCCTAATGAAACATATACAGGATCCATATGCTGAAAATCATAAAGTGCTGATAAGAGACATCCAAGGAGACCTAAATAAACAAATAGATATACAGTGCTCACGAGCTGAATGAGTCAACATAGCATAGACGTCAGTTCTCTCCAGAACGATCCACAGACTTAATGCAATTCCTATCAACATGCCAGGTAGGATTTTTGGTAGATAAAGACAAGCTTATTTTAAAATTTATAGGCAGAGGTACAGGCCTTAGAAGAGCTAAAACAATCTTGAAAAAGAAGAATAAAGGGAGAGTAATCAATCTATCCCATATTAAGGCTGATTTTATAGCTATAATAATGGTATAATACAGAGAACCCCAAAACAGACCATACAAATAGACCCAATTGATTTTTGACACAAAGTGCCATTTCAACAAGTGGTGCTGGAACAAATGGAGGGGCATAGATCAAAACCATCCCCCCAAATAAACAAACCAAAAAAACCCCCAAAACCCTTAGATCTATTCCTTACACCTTGTACAAATTTTAATCAAAATGGATCATGAAGTCAAGTGTAAAATATAAAACTATGATACTTTTAGAAAAAAGGAGAAAATCTTCAGGATCTAGACAAAGAATTCTTATACTTGACACAAAAAGCATGACTTATACAAGGGAAAAATGACAAATTAGACTCATCAAAAGGTAAAACTTCTGCTTTGCAACAGACCATGCTGAGGATGAAAAGACATGCTAGGGAGTGGGAGAAAATATTTGCAAGTCACGTAACTGAAAAAGGATACATCTATAGACCATAGAAAGAACTCTCAAACTCCAACAGCAAAAACCCCCAAACAGTTCAATTAAAAAATGGGTAAAAGACATGAAGAGACATTTCCCCTAAGTAATAAGAAAGGCAGATGGCAAATAAGCACAAGAAGAGACGCTCAACATCCTTAGCCTTTAGAGAAATGCAAATTAACACAGCCATGAGCTAGCCCTACAATCTCTCCGAATGGCAAAACTGAAAAATAGTGACCACACTGAACGCTGGCAAGGAGAACCTGGATCGCACATTGCTGGTAGGAATATAAAGCAGCACAGTTACTCTGGGAAGGAGTTTGGCAGTTTCTTCAAAAACTAAACCTGCCAAGCCAAGCTACCACATGGCCCAGCAATTGTACTCCTGGACACCTATTCCAGAGAAATGGAAACTTATTTTCATACAAAATCCTGAATACAAATGTTCACAGTAGCTTTATTCACAATAGCTCAAACCTGGAAACAACCCAGACGTCTTCAGTGGATGAATAGTTAAATTAATCATGGTGAACTTAGACCGTGGATGACTACCCAGCAATAAAATGGGACCATATATTGATACAGGCAGCAACCTGGATGAATATCCAGGGAATTATGCTGAGTCAGAGAATGCCAATCCCAAAAGCTTAGACGCCACATGATTGCACTTGTACACCACTCTCTGAAAGATAACACTGCAGACATGTAAGACGCACCAGAGGTTAGACATGGAGGTGAAGTGGCTGTAAGAAGGCTGCACGAGGAACCCCTGTTACAGAACTCTTCCGCTGATGGTGTCCATGCCGACATCTAGTTAGTCCTGCAAGATGTTACCACTGGGGGAGAATGGGTGAAAGGTATACAGGCTCCCTCTCTTTAATATTTCTTACAACTGCATTTGAATCTATAATTATCCCAAATTATATCTCAAAATTAAAAGTTTAAACATTAAAAAAAAAATCGACCTCAAGTGAAACTTCCAAATGCAATTCCATTTGTAACTGGGTCACTTAACTGTGACTGTACTTTGAGTAAATCTGCGTAGATTTGCCTGTCCTTGCATCTTAAGAAATTCAAATTGGAACTGCTTCTTTTTCCCTACAAGGAGGGAAGTCATGGCTCCAAAGGAAAATATTTGATACCAAATAAAAAATGGAAAGTACTGTTTTCCAATTAAACATGTTTACTTGGCAGGTTGTCTGGATACTGAAAAGAGCATCTCTGATACCTGAGGCCTATCTAATAATAGAACAGGATCCCACCCCTGAATTTTCAGAAGTTCAGTTCACTGTCTAACATGATAAGTTTTCAAACCCTGATCAGTATCCGAGAAACAAGAAAATAACTCTTTAGAGAGGGAGGAGACTGGATCATCTTGAAGTTTAATCCTACTACAAGTACCATAGAAAGCAGATTTTTAAATTCTAGATTTCTGTAATCTTGGAGGGCTCATTCTTGAAAATAAAAGGACAAGATCAAAGAAAGTTCAGCTTTCCCAGTGGCAGAAGGGGTCGACTGAGGATGCTTCAGTGCCCTGTATCCTCTCAGATGCCATAACATAAAACTTAGATCCTAACATCCTGAACTGACCCTCCTGAGGGTCAGACTTACACTGGACTGTCATGTTAGAAAGGATCAGCCTGGGGAGCAGCACGCCACACACAGGTGAGATGCAGTTTCTCTTCAGTTCCCTGAAGGAGAGCGACTCAAGTCCAGTGACACCTCAGCTCCAGCCTCTCCCATCCCTGCGCCCAAGTCCCACCAGCCCACCTCCTCCTCCAGGCAGGTGCCCACCTTACTTCTCTCTTCCTCACCACCAATCTTCCACGACCACTGCCTCCTCCCCCCAGTTCCCTTTGGGCCCTCATCAGTTTTCCAGTGGGATCCCAGCTCCCTCCAATCCCCAGGAATGGCTCCGCCAACAACGGACTCTCCCAGTGAACTTGGCCTCTCCGTGGCGGCTGACACTTTCTGGCCACGCCCACTGTCATGAAGCCTTCCTGTCTACCTCTCCCAGGGTGACTTCTGCTACACTTGTGGCAGAATTCAGGAAGGCACTGATTCCCCAGAGTTCAGAAAACCAGGATCTCTCACAGGAACATGAAACCCGGACAAACAATATGACATTCCTC